CCTGCTCTGCCCGGCCGCGGCGAGACCGCGCAGGCAGCGGGACCGGCATGTCGAGCCCTTTCCAAAGGCAGCGGCGAAACTCGGACCCCGACCATTCCTCCTGGCATCTTCGCGGAAAGAAACAGGAGGAAGGGGGATGAGTAAGTGCCATACTAACTCACCTGTGAAAGCAGTGAAATTAAAGTAGACCTTTACAACCAGCAAATATTCACTGACTGCAAGTTAGATATGTATTAAATGTAAAGCAGTTTAAAAAGCACTGAAAATTCAAAAGAGTGATTATGAAAATGACAGGATAAAACAAAAGAGAAAAGAGTAGCATTTTCCACATTATCAGACAAGATAAAATCCATTCACCAAAGAAAATAAATGGGGGGAAAAATCTAACCCTGACAGAAATAAAGTGGAATTATTGCCACCTTAAGCAGGTACACAACAAGAAAAAGTCAATATAAATGTTTGTAATCTTCAGAGGATGAAACATGAAAATTTAACCTATCCACAGTATAAATTAATTACAGTATTTTTGGATCTTGGATAAAGAGTCCCCTTCCAGCTACATTATTCAAAAATTTTGAGTACATCAAATACAGCTGATACTATTTTGATACAGTTCTTTGAAAGTGTTTTAAGTCAATTCACCAGTATGTGTTTCCTAAATGTAATGAATCCCCTCAATACATCTTTTTAAGGTAAGCAAATGATATACTATGGCCATAAAGTAACAACATAAATCTTGATCTTACGGCTCATGTTAATCTGTTAGATCTTGTGTAAGTGAGAAATCCCATCAGTTACACTTATCCCATTTAGGATGGGGTATCCTTAGGGGCATCCCAGAGAGGGGACAAGCAGTGACATCCACAACATTGTCCTAGAGAACTTCACACTGCATTACATGAATTCCCTTAGGAACACTGGCTGTCCTATGCCCTATTATTCACGTCCTTCTGACACAGTGCTCACCTCTGTAACTCACCTGCAGCCCTAAGAGCCACCGCTCACCACCACTTTTTGGTGTCTGTACCAACCCAACTAAATAACAACAAAGCCACAGGCAGATCACTGGATTTCAAGGCAAATGAACAAGAGAGATACACGCGCCACAGAGGCACAGATAAGACAAAAGTTGTGATTCAGACTTGCCAAGTCAGACATGCTTGGCTCTGTAACTGTTCACCACTTTGGTCAGTGCTAAGGGAGACAAATCCATCATGGCATAAGCCAGACTGGCTTGCTGGAGGCTGCTACCAAGGTGTTCAAGGTTGCCATCTCTCAGCAGTGGGATCATGTTCTTTCCCTGCCAAGAGCTAATGACATATTTCATGAAGAGAAAGCCACAAAGCATTACAGGTTTTGATAGTGAAAACACACCTACTTCTGTTCTGCTACCCCATCTGGTCCTGTCCCACCCATCTTGTCCTCTGTGGAAATGAGACACATCATATCCTGTTTGGCATAGCTAAGAGTCAGCAAGTACAACATCGCTACAGTTGCTACAATCTGCAAAACCTGCACTCTCATCCAACACAGAGTAATATTGCCTGGCATTCATGAGGCATAGCCTGTCTTCCTGTTTTTGGAACTATAGACAGGATAAAAATGCTGACACAAGGCATACAAAACCATCAATAAAACAAATGTATCATCAAAGGAATTTCTGTTGTCTTTTGGACCTATCTCTTAGCTGTCATGAGCCTATTCTACACCTGATTTCCAGGAGCAGGGTACGAGTTAAAGTTGTTTCATCCAGCAAACAATATTACCTGGCACTGTCCTAAGGCAGCTTGTCAGCTTCAAGCATAAGATTCTCTTCCAGCTTAATCTCTGTTTTCTCACAACCAATTTTGGTGACCTAGTACAACTCTGAGCACAACAGAGGAGTTCTTACTTCTCATAACATGACCTAGTTTGCTGGAAAAGACCAGAGATGTGTATCCCATCTCTAATTACAGTACTGCTGGAGTGATTTGTAGCAGTATCTTGTGTGTACTCTCTGGCAGCCTGTCTCCCTCCCACTTTTATTCCAACTTCAGAATAACTTTTTTATGTTTCACTGTGTATGGACAAAGAAAGGAAAACAGATTTATTGGTGGGAAGATAAGTAGTCCCAAGATTTGAGTCATTTCAGTAGGTTATCATAAACCAAATACTCACTCGTCTGGTGTACTTACCTTTACTAATAGGGTAACCTGCATTAGCTACTCCATCATAATTGTGTTTCAGATTCCTAAACAAGAGGAAGGGTAATTTGCTTCATTGCTCTTTCACTGAGAGCATAGTATTTTGAATTACTTTTCATTTATTAGGGAAAAGAAGTGTGCATATAGATACTGGCATCAGAAGGTTTGGCATGGCAACAGCTCTGTGTCAGCCGTGATAGTCCAGAAAATGTTAATGGAAAGAAAAGCATCCTCACAGCTATTTCTAAGGGATCAAAAATGGAAACTATATAAGATTGTATACTGAAAATGGCAAAGCTGACACAAAGATGTTTGGAACAGATTCTAAAATAAGTAAGAACTGCTTATGATTTCTGGGCTTTAACCACAAATGAGAAAAACAAGGGATTCCTGTCATTAAAGGCCTGATAGCCTTGAAGAAAACAGGACAGAACATGTACCTTCAGCCTGGGAAGAGCTCCAGGTCTGGATGCACCTCCTTCTGTGCTCCAAGACTTGGGCTGCACATTCTAAGCCAGGAACATCAATGGAGTTTGGGGAGAAAAATGACTGTTGCTAACCATGTGGTGTTTCCATGGACACTTGTTTTTGCTCAGAAAAGTTATGTTCTAAGCAAGATAAAGTTTGCATTGTAGTTTTTAGCATGTTTAAGGAATTTTCTGGTAACAAGTCTGCCACCACGGTTCAGTTGTTTCCCTC